GGACATAGCCATTGGTGGAGAGTTGATGCAGGTCCAGGATGGCCAGGAAAGAGTCGTTACCTATGCCAGCTATGCCTTAAACCCTGAGCAGAGACGTTACTGCACAACCCGAAAGGAGCTCCTAGCTATCATGAAGTTCATACATCAGATTTGACATAACCTCTTTGGGAAACTATTTACCAACCATACTGACCATAGTAGCTTAACATGGCTGTTGAGGTTCAAGAAGCCCCAGGGCCAATTGGCTTGGTGGATAAAGGAATTGAACCAGTACAACATGATGCTGAAACATCGCAAAGGGAGCATACATTGAAACACCGATGTACTCTTACGAATAGGCAATACATCAGAGAGTCACTAAATCCATGGTGTGGAACTGTTTAAGGAACTGCAGTGACCGTGTTGAAGTTCATTCATGCAAAAAACATTTAATGACGCAGTCCCAAGATGATCGTAATTATCATGCTGATGCTCTTGAATTATTCATGCCTGCTGCAGCGACTGCGGTCAACCCGAACATTCTATGCATGGTGCACAGACAGATGCTCGGTGTACATGTATATCTACTGGTTATCCTCGGAATGTGTAAAGTGGGTCGTGCATCTGCAATTCAAAGCGTCGGGGACATAAACATGGTGAATTCTTCTCAGACTGTCACAAAAAAGCGGACTCTGTATATGCTTCAAAGGTGATCAAAGCAATGCCTGAAAATATATATTTTACTCGGCACAACATTGAATCACACAGGGCTTCCTGTATTCTTATCCTCTATTTCAACACCCGTGCAGGTGTTCATGTACAGCACCGTTCGCATGCATGTATGCACCCAGACTCATGCAAGGATTAAACGATGGCACTTTTTGTCACTTCTTGAAAATAGAGAAACACAGAGGCTAAGCTTTTTGTTAGTTGTTTGTTTACAGTTACTATGAATTTAAACAACATTTTGATCATAAACTCAGGGATAATTTGAATTTTACCCCAAAACAAAGTAATAAGAGACAAAAAAATCTAAAGCTGCCATTAAGCATTGGGGAAAAAAATGTTTATTTGAGAGGCCAAGACGTGCAAGATTTCGGAAATGCATGTTCAGTCTTTGTTTTCAGTTTGAAAGACTTCATTCTGAAATTAACCTATGTCCCTTTTCTCTGAAAAATGATGCACAAAAAAAAAACAATAATCATTTTCACTTTACAAGACGAAGTCTAATTCCTTCTCATGTATTTGTGTATTTACGTCGCGAAAAAATTTGGGCATTAAATTTTTAACGGCCAAGAGCCCTTTTCAATCAGAATGAAAGTAAAAAATTATCCAATCTGCAAAGAAAAAATCCCCTTTCTAAACAATGATTGACAGCTCCTGTGTGTACTTTTCTGACGGGTTCCAAGAGTAGGCGGTGTTTCTCCCTAAACATTTACACAAAGTATTTCTTAAACTTGATTGGATGGCAAGCTCCAATCTGAATACCAGCAGTTGTTTTTGGAATTTAAAATTATGCCTCTGAAAGGAGACAATTGGCGTTGTAATTACAGCAGTGACAGGGGTTGGCCAGTGCAGACTATTTCTAAGTGCATGAATTTAGGCTAACCAATCACGCATTGACAAACTCTGAGGCACAAAAGTGCAACTTATAAAGAAGGACCTCAAGGACCGCCAGTCAACTGAACATGACTCTTGTGCAACAATTAAGGGATAAGGGACTGGATTCCAATAAATAAAAAGAGTCACGGTGGCCACGGCTCTCCAAAGCGTCTGTGGAACCGACTGCAGCTGCTGCGGTCTGATTCTGATAGCTGCGCCCGGTGAAAAATTTAAATAACAATAGTGGGTTTTGTTAGTCAGTTCCTTTGATATGGTAAGTTGGCAAAGGCCGTGAACAGTCGGCTGGTTGCTAAGGACTTGTGAAAACCCCAGTGTCCGCGTTCAAACTGCAGTTCAACCTTTTGGACAAGCTCCCTAAAAGAAGGAACACTGCAGTTCCACTATGATTTACCATCATCAGGGAATCAAGCGCATAAAATTCAGGATAAAGGGGAAATTCTACTGGTACAGCATGGCGGAGATATAGAAAGATATGTCTTATCCTATGAGATATGTAACCAAAAAAGAAACCGAGCCATCAAAACAGGCACAGACCCACTGGACACCATGCAGGAACCCCCATGGAGCAGGTTCACACTGGCTTCACAGGTCCCTTTTTTGACTGAACTGTTCTTCCGTATATTGTCCGTATTTTTTCCAATTGGTCTGCTGTTGCTAAGTAGGGGAAATCTGTGGATGCGAAGGAGGTGTGCGCTGAAGCATGAGGGGTTTAAAGAGGCTGGCGGCCATGTGCCCTTTTGTCATCGAGGAAAAACATCATGAATGAGCATGATTTTTTTGGACATGATGAATACTGACAGCCGTTCTGCGGAAATTCCAGTATTACCATTTATTAAAGACGATGGGTCGCTACAGTCATCAAGAAATTGTTGGCGAAACTTCAGTTCGGGTTGGGACATGAACACGCATGTGTACACATACCTGTATATGTACTGAACATGAACATGTGCAATGGTCAATGCAAAGTGAGACATTGGGAACTCGCTACAAACGTGGCGTAGTACTTCTGTGTATAAATGATACATTAATACAAGTACTGAACTCCTTCTCCGTCCCATATCCATGAGCAACGTGATTTCAACAGTTTTACACCTTGTCCAAAGTTTATTTAGGTATTATAATTCCGTAGAATATTATCTCAGAGGTGGTGTGACATTTTCCAAATATGTTTCGCTGACCAAAACGATTGTGTTCAAACCATGCTTGACTCAACAGAATGATTGCAGGATACGTGAAAACAGCACAAACAGCCGGCTCAAATGGGAATTCCCTACTTTACAGGATACAAAATCACACTGGATTTTGAGTGAATTGTGTTCTGGTTATTTATTTTTTTTGGACACATTCAAAGGACCCTGGTATCAAGTCAGTATTCCTTCCAAGGACGGCGACCATGTCCAAGCTGCAAGTTTGCCCTAACTCTTGTCACGCACCGAAGCACTGCTATATTCTGCCTGGCAAAATCATTTTTTCCCCTCCAGAGCTGCCTTCAGTCAAACATGAAACCAACTACATGTACATGTACAATCACCATCCATTTATTCATTTATGACATCATTAGCCTAATATGGAATGTAAGGGTGTGAATATTGGAGATTGGAATACATAATGTTGGTCTGAATATATATACTCATAATTGGATGTAGTGAGAATTTAGTACTGTCCTGCAGCTGAAATGCTATACCTTGGGTGTTCTTAGTTGGTTATTAGTGAATTCTCACCACATGCATTTTACACCATCATGTGATCCGGGGCCATCGCAAATTTATTGTACATACCCGCTATATGCACCACGTGTACTTGCACATCTGAGGAGCAAGGATGCAGCATATAATGTATGAACTGAAACTTGTTTTCCATTTTTCATTGTGTTGCTATCAATGCCATGCCATATCAAAGCAAACATCCAAACCAACCAGTGCATGGGGTTTGGTTTGGTTTGGTTCGGTTCGAAAGTGCAATGTTCTATGATTTTGGGCTCGATCTGGCAGATTGGCTGCAGCACTAGCTGTTGCTCTCGAAAGGTGGTTTAGCCGCTGGTCCCTTTTCTTTGTTCTTCCACATGACTTGGTGTTTGCAGGCATATCTCATGCTCATAAAACTTTAAACTCAGAATTAATGTTGACTTCTCCAGAGGAGCTTTGGTTTTTCTCAAACAGAATCTCCAATATTGAGACATTTAAATTTTCCAATCACAGTAACTCACATGACCAAAATGCAAGGATGCATGTAGTTACCACATTTGTTGATTTCTAAAGTGTTTACGATGGGTGCTGATAATGTGTGAACAGTTTTTGAGCGATGTAGATAGGCCTACATGTGAAAAGCGAACTGTACATGTACAAGGTCAATCGTGGTACTGCAGCAGTCAACTCACTGCAAGATGAATCATTGTTTGACAATTCTCAACGCTGCATTGTTGAAGATGAAACACAAAGTTGAAGGTAAATTCGCAAACCACAATTACCATGCAAAACAAAGGAAAAGAATGTCTGTCTTAACGGCCATATTAAACTAGTCTGCAAATCGACCTAATCTGTGAACTGTCCTGGCAGGCAGGAACATCCTGTGGTGCATGGTGTTTTGCAAGACAAATTACACGAGCTGTGCTCTGAGTGTTAAAAATGAACAGCGTTTTTCTCGATTTTTCTCAAAAGCTGAAACGAATCCCTTGAATGATACACAAAGTCTCAAACCGGTAAATGTTGGCAAATTGCAATACATGCAAATCCTGTACAGTACATAAACGTATACATCCATTTTGGAATTTCCACCAGGGTGGCCGGCCGACTTCAGAAAAAAAAACCTTGTGGTTTTAAGTTGGCAATTGAATGTCGATGGCGAACTGAAAGTTGACCGGTCGGTCAGCAGAAACTCGGCCATGTGCCAATTCAAAAGAATTTGCCCTGCCAAGGATTACCGGCCAATACGCAGAAGATCAGGCGTATTCACAAGGTTGGTTATTTGCATAAAGCTTGCGAATCCGCCGGGTTACTAACGGCTCTTTCATTTGGCAGGGATTAGTGTGCTCTCTCTGATTCCATGAAATGTCTGCATCACGTAACACACGGGCAATTTGGAGATGACGCCTTACACTTGTTCGTTACTGTTTTGGCAGTGGTTTCTTTCATATTGGTCAAATAAAACTGCAATGTAAATGGAGATACAGTTCAGGCATTTTGAGTTACAAAGGTATTCAAGCACATACATTTGTAGTATTCTATTCTCTTGATGGGAAAGAATTGTGATTTCAAGGTAAAGAAAGTATTTGTCAGAATTCCCCTTTTATTTCTCTATTTCTTTTCAGAGACAGGCCTAAGCAGCCTTCATCCATATTCACTTCTTTAATCCGTAACCTGTTTCTTTTTATTCTCAGGGCCATAGATTTCCATACACCATGCAAATAACTGCCAGGTTTTTTTTTAACAATTAAGGTACAGAGTGCAGACTCCCAAGTAGAATGCCCTTTTCTTTTGTGTTTGATTAGTCAGATCATTTGAGATTCACTGTAGTTTGCCATGTGATTGAAGAAGAGTGTGGGTCAGTGGAATTTATTTGGCATATGAAAGTTGATGGCAAGGATATGTAACTAGTTTTGGGTGTGTTTAGGCACAGCTCTGTTGATTTGGAGACAGTATGGAGGTGGGAAGTTTGTGTGATCCTTAGAGCCGCATGCTCTCAAGCCTGTAGCTGCCAAAGTTTGCTCTATTTCATTCATTGACCAATAAAGACCTTCTTTAAACATGACTGTTAACATGCATTCATAAACACCTCAGATAGTTTTCCTATTCACCAACACAAAACATGAGATAATGCCCACTGCAATTTAATAATGCCCACTATGTAAAAACACACTGGCACATATATTTATTTTTATCTTAGCAATGATTATTTTTGTTGCGCTCTTTCTTGCCGCACCCTTCTGTTTGGTTCTTGGGAGACGTACGCCTTTTGGCGACAGTTTATTTTTTAAACTTTGCAATTTGATAATGCCCACTGCGTAAAAACACACTGGCACATATATTTATTTTTATTTTTATCTTAGCAATGATTATTTTTTGTTGCGTTCTTTCTTGCCTTACTTTTCTATTTGTTTCTTGGGAGACGTACGCCTTTTGGCGACAGTTTATTTTTAAACTGTTATGTTCTCCTTGGCGGCCTGCTGTGTCTTGTGATTGTCTTCTTGTATGTTCAATTGCCCCAAATAAATATTATTATTATTATTGTACACAGCACAGTTGTACTTGTAATCACTGGACTATTTGCAGCGTGGTCTTTCTTTCCAGTGGCAGCTTCAATCCAATTAGCCTCGCTGTGACAGTATCAAACTATCAGGTTTTGAGTTAATAAGAGTTTACTGTCCTTGGGGCATATTTGATACATGTATATGTTTTTCCAATACTCAAAATTGGATTTCCAAAAAAAGCAGTTATGGAAATTTGATTTGATATTGATGGACCGACCTGGAAAGCGTCCTGTATGTCTCAAATAACACTGTTGTTTTTCTTTATACAAAAAACTAGGTGGCATAATTTTGGCCATATGTTGAACTATACATTTATACAATGTACGTATCCCATACCTGGTTAATGGTGATGACAGGGAGCTGAGTAGGGTTCCAAGTCTCACCATCATCCTTAGATACATAAAGTACTCTTTCTTCATTTTTCTATCAACACAACAAGAGAAAACTATTTGTACGACTGAGTAACAAAATAGTATTTTTTACATTCATTGACCAATAAAGACCTTCTTTAAACATGACTGTTAACATGCATTCATAAAAAGTTTTTCTATTCAACAACACAAAACATAAGATAATGCCCATTGCAATTTGAAAATGCCCACTGCGTAAAAACACACTGGCACCGACAGTTTAGTCCATTCCTATAGTCGGGAGTCTGAGTACGCCATGGCACGCAGAACTCAGCAAGGGTGCACCAAGTCCATACAAGGAGATTCTTCTGGATTACTTGTACAAGAAACATACAATCAAAAACGTGGGATGTTTGGGGAAATGAAAGTAAATTCTTGAACAAATCCTTGGAAACTCAAACAGTATTTATGAATGGGAATAAATATGTGCATGGTTGGTCCTAAACTAATGTTTAAGACTGGTCAAGCAAATATTTATTCCCGTATTTGTTCTAGATACAAATATACACCTGGACCACCACATACATGTATTTTATGTTTCAAGCTACTGTTGCAAAAATAAATCTTGATTCTGCATGTCATAATACTCTAATCTTAAATAATTTTTCAGTATAATACAAACAATTCTCTTCTGCAAAGCAACACAAAGAGAACAAAGTGTTCACCTTTCCTCCGTCCATTGCTGCAAATACAAAATTCCCCTGAACACCAAAGCTGTACACGTTCTCTTTCATTGCTGCAAATTAATTCAAACAAAGTCAATTCATTCAGTGTTACTGGTACATTTCTCCCACTGAAATTTCTCTGACACGATCTTTAATTGCCATAAGCTAAGCAGTGCCAAATCAACAATAGTTGCTGTGAGCTTTGCTTGTGACAAAACATGAACACAGAAAAGGAGAAAAGCACAGTTTTGTTTAACTTCTTATAATGAAAAACCAACTTACTTTTATGCCGATACCTATATTTTAACACAAATTCACAACTGGGACATGACTTCAAACTCTTGTTTAATTTACAAAGTGATATTTTGGGTATCTATACCCTGTGTGTTTGGGTATCTGCTTATGCAAAATTAAGATGTCATGAATTACAACAGCTTGACAGATTTTCAGACTAAGTGCAAAATACACGCTCATATCAAATACACCAAAAAATGTGATCAGTTGGTCTATAGTACTAAAATGTTTCAGGAATGAAGTCTTTACCACATCCAAAACAAAAATTCCTCCCCCAAAGTAGTGTGGGAGAGTCTGCCACCAAATATCTACCCAAACAGTTGCTATGTTTGCAAATTTCCTTTACACCTTATTTCATTCGCTAAAACTAGATCAAGTGTAGCATGCCCTCTATTACCACAATGCACTGCAGCACTGCCGACATGTTTGTCCTTTTATGGAATGCAAGGTTTGAGCCACAGTGAGGAGGACCGGAGGGCGTCAACTGTTTGGGTAGGTCTTCATCAGCAGACTCTCCAACACTACTGTGGGGGAGGAGTCCACTGCATTCATCCCAAACAGTCACTATACTGGTATTTGCAGAGCAGCACTGTACTCTAGAGAAGGGTTAGCGAGGATGCACTAAAAGTGAGGAAGACCGTGTGGAATGAAGAAGACCCAACTAAGGAAAGGAGGAGGCCATTAGACAGAGTTGGAAGTGGCTCACCTAGTATTGGTCCTCTTAGTCTCAGTTAAGAGGCCAGTATTGTCTCGTCATGAAAGAACTTATTGCAAGACTTTATGCTATGTCAAATAGCATGAGGTGAATGATGATAGTGTTTTCCAACATGCTGCTCTACAGATATCTACAGACAGGAAAATGCCGAGGGATGTCCGAAAGGTGGATACCACTCTAATGTTATGAGCTGGGATAGGGTGGCAAGGTTTGTGATCTGGGAAGATTGGCCATTCGGGATAGGTGAACTTGATGGCCGAAGAAATCCAACAAGCCGTACTGTCTCTGATTTTTGTTCAATTGGGGTAATGACAGAAGATGCGGGATAGTATCGGTACCACTCAGCTTTGAGTCCTGGCCAGATATCATCATGAGAACAGGACAGCAAGGTTTGCTGTTAAGAGAACTAAAATGCTCTATGATTTCAGAGATGAAGATGTCTTGTTCGTGGGATGAATTTGAATGGGACTTTGTGAGGGAGCCTAGGGCTGGGATGAAATAGACGCTGTGGCGTCACCATCCAATCAAACCATCTGTGATGGATACTGCAATCCACTGCCAGCTTCACCGAAGAGTGTGATTATAAGGCCTTGATGAAAGGCTCAGAGAGAAGACCTTTGAACGGCTCAAGGACACAAGACAGGTCCCAACAGGGAATGAGCTGTCTTGGAGGGGAATGCTCAATGAACATGCTTAGAGAAAGTACCTGAGGGCAGTTTTGTCTGAGTGGGGGGGGGGCGAGGGAGCCATCAGGGACAACCACAGTGGATAGCTCTGATGACAGAATGGTAGTTGCGTATGAATGCTAACTGTAGTTCCGAGTGAAAAGGAACAAAACAGAAAGTTGGCTACTGCGGTTACAGGCATCTCAGTTGGAGCTGCACGACAACCAACACACCATAACATAGCAAGCTGTTATCTGTTGGAGTGAATTTACACTAGCAGCCTGGCACCAGAGCTGATGAAGCCACAAAGGAGCAAACAGAAGACAATAGCAATGTTATTAATTGATTCAGACAGAACTGCTGGGAGGAAAGGTATGCACATAGGCAAGTAACCCTTCCTAGCTAAAAGGAAGGACATCTGTTGTCCAGGCTTGTAGATGAGGGATCCTGGTGCAGAATATCAGCAGCCGAAACTGACAAAGGTTAATATGTGAACCACTGAATACCTTGGAGATTAACTCAGCCATGTTGTGATGCAGAGTCAGGTGAATCTTTCTCTGAGAGCATACGTCTGCAAAAGAGTTGTAATGTAAGCAGTCAGGATATGGGTTGCTGTCATGTCAATCCCAGAGCCCAACGCCCTTGGGGACAATTGTCTGATCAAACAGGACAGATTTGCCTAACGGTTGTACAGAAGTGACAAGCACACTGAAGGTTGCCTGAAGTTCCAGAATGTTGAAGAGACTTCCATTAACTGAGACCTGGAAAATCAGGAAGGGAAGTACCCCTTGTAAATCGGTAGAAAGTCGTCACCTAAGGATCCATCTTTGGGAGAGGGAGATTGTAAACCAGATGTTTCTGTATCTACTGGCAGCAAAGTTGTGACCGGATGAGGTCCATTATGAAAACTGGGAGATCTATCAGGTCACATTTTGGCTGGAAGAATGCCAGGAAGTGGGCTGGAGGAGTCTCATTAAGAAGCCTCATTATTATGTCCTTCAGTTTCGGTTTGGGAGGTTTATAAACAACTTCTGAAAATTCCAGGCAGGAAAGCAGGTGGGCCAGATGGAATCCCAGTGCCCATTATTCATGAGTTTCCATATGAATTGAGTAAGCCACTTACAAATATCTTTAATATGTTGTACCAGGAAAGTGTTTTTCCAAACCAGTGGCAAAAGGCAATCATTGTTCCTATTCCGAAAAGTTCTCCGCCCACATGGAATAAGCTACGGTCAGTATCTTTAAGTGACCATTTTGCTAAAGTAGCCGAACATTCTGTTGTTCAGTGACTTACGTCAGACATTCACATGAATTTAGATCCAAACCAGTTTGGTAATAGAAAAGGGGCATCAACAACTCATTATCTTGTTTAGCTTGTAGACAATTTATGTTCTCATGCTGAATCCCCAAGAAGTTATAGTACGTTGGTAATTAGACTTGTGTAAAGCATTTGACCGTGTTGATCACAATGTTTTCATTAAGGATCTGCTTCGTATGGGCACACGCCCATCATTAATTCCATGGATATGCAACTTCTTAGCTCAGCGATCTCAATGTGTCAGGTTCAAAAATGTGCTGTCTGACTTCAATGTTTAGAAAGGTGGTCTACCTCAAGGGACAAAATTTGGCCCGCTAGGATTTTTGGCTAAATTCAATGGAGCTGTCAATTCTGGGAACATTGTTAATAACAAGGTTCTCAGTCTGAAATATGTTGATGATATGACACTTGTTGAGAATTGCTTAAATAATCATCCAACAAATATCCAACCAGTGTTAGACGAATTTAGTGAGTGGGCTTTGCAAAATCATATGAAAATTAACCCTGAAAAATGTTGCAATATGAATGTGAGCTTCATGAAAAAATTCCTCGGTTTCCATCAATGCAAATCCTAGAAACTGATCTTCAGATGGTTGACTGTGGGAAGATTCTGGTTCTGGTTAGTTCAGACCTCAAATGGGACAAACACGTCAATCATATCTATCATAAGGCTCACAGTATCTTCATTCTTAAATTGTTGAAGAAATTTAACTTGCCTATTTACCGATCTGTTGATAGTGTTTAGGGGTTACATTCGGCCACTTATGGAATATGCCACACCGGTTTGGAATGCAGGCTTAACAAAATCTCATGAAGGGAAGTTGGAAAGCATTCAAAAACATGCATTCGAAATCATCTTGGGTATGGAGTGTTCAGACTATGAATCAGCTCTGACTAAATGCCTGTGTCTCTTCAGAGTCGTTGAAGAGACCTTTGTTCAGACTTTGCAGCCAAACTGAAGTCTTCCAATACATTCCATACGTGGTTACCCCAGCTGAGATATAGTCAAGTGCAATATCAACTCAGAAATGCCATAAACCTGTCACATTAGCATGTAAGACCAAACGTTATAAGAATAGTCCCACCCATATTTTGTAAGTCTGCTGAATCATTAATCTGTTAAGGGTTGGTTTTAATTAATTTGTGATTTTGTGGGCATTGGTTATAACAGTGCAATTTTCTGTTTGTATCTTACATGTAAGTGATTTTCATTTTCTGATTGTTGTTTTGTGTTTAGTTTAGATGAGATGCGTCTACTTTAAATTTTTAATGCTTTAATGTTTTCTTTATAGAATAGTCGAGCTGTGTGTACTGTGGCAATTTAGCCTTCAGGCTACAATCACAGTGTTTGAAATAAACGATCAATAATAATAAAGACCGTAAAGAGGTACCAGGTTCACCAGGCTAATCATCAGGCCAAAGAAGTGTTGTGCTTGTGTGCCGGAGCCAAAGAGGGGTCAGGGACCGCATCTACATAAATCTGGGCATGAGTAGGGGCGAATCTCAAGTTTCCTCAGTGATGAAGGATTATAGACAGCTGGCAAACTTGCAAGTAAGGCTAGTGTCAGCTACAGCCTTGTCTGGACAGCCTTGGTCAAGGCATTCATCATTCATCAAAACAGGTATGCAGCGGGCTTCCACTCTCTCCGGCCCAAAAGGTAGGCTGCATATTGAATGGAAGCATGGCGGGGGGGGGGGGGGGGNAGGGGGGGGGGGGGGGGGAGAGGAGGCAACGTCAGCTCAGTCGGCAACCCTGCATCTCAGTGGGCTACGGAAGGGATGTGGTGTGGATCCGAATCCATTTGCGTATTCACCGAGACAGCCCCAGTAAATGATGGGGAATGGGCCCGGGTAGCACTATTCTCTGTTTCACATCTACAATGTAGGCTCCCCCAGTGAAGAGGTCACAGACGTCGGTGGGCTGATGCATGAAGTGGTCCTTGGGACCGGTAGGTGTGTCTCAGTTAGCCATACTGGAGGTGGAGGGGTTGGATGCAGTAGACAAATTTCTTTTTGTTGTCAGTCATCAGGCCATCACTCCCTCTCCCTGGCCTGGGTGACTGGCATTGGGTCTCCATTCTCTCTGGACAGGAACGTGCACCATACGCACAGCAGCTCAGTCCCTTGTGCACGGTTGTTGGCAGACTCTGGTTCTGACCAGAAAGGAGTTGGATAGAGTGGACTGTCAGCACAGTAATCATGAGTATCGGCTTACTACCTTAACACCTCGATCTTTTTGTGGATTGACTGCTGTCTGTCTGGGGGAAGGTTGAGGACCGCTAAACGCGTTAAGCCCTCAACTGTCTCAGGTTGCCCTGTTGACCCTATATAATACCACTAAGTGACATGAGCTACGTAGAGCAACATTAGCAACCTACGAGCATGCACATATAAAGAAAGAGAAAAACACCACAAAAATGACAAATAACACACTCATTTTGAGATACTATGAATATATCAGAAAGCTACAGATTATTTTTTACAAGTAACAGTTGTTCAGACTCCCACAGGAAGGTGAAGTGAGAATGGAAGCTCAAAATACTTGAAAATACCAAAAGACACGTCCGTCATTGATGGCACTAAGAAGGATGAACATGGGGACGCTCTACAGTTGATCAAGTTCTAGCAAATAAAATAAGGTGCAAAGGAAATTTGCAAACATAGCAACTGTTTGGGTAGGATTAGTGCAGTGGACTGGAAGATTTATACAAATACACATTCCATGTGCATGATGCATGTATCAGGATTTGCTTCAAGTTTGTAAGGGTAAGAATCAAAAGCATTTTCCTGTTCCGACATGAGCGCATGAGAGGAACAAGCCCATTGTTCTAAATCCCCCATACTCCTGCATTTGCACGAGCCACATTCAGAATGCAGGATCACGCCCAAAATTGCAAAACAAAAGCTCCAAGATATGGTCACACTTTATGCCCTCTGGACGTCAATACAATAGATCTGTGGTGATGACGATGCGGAATGGAAACCTCACATTTAATATCCTATTTTTCCTCTGGACCAAGGGAGTCTTGGGAAAACGGTTACAATAAATGCAGATACATGTACGTATACACGTACGTGTAGTTGAAAGAAGAGTTGAGATTTGTACCTTGTTGAGGATCAACGAAATGAGAGGTCTCGCAATGTAGAGTTCCATGTGCATATATAATAAAAACCTGCCCTCGATATGGCATTTTAATACTTGGGTAGTATCAAAGGTTGACAGAATTTTTTGTTGTAGACTCGAGTTCCTTTTTTATTTTTCCAGTTTTAGTTGAGACTTCACTTGGAAAAACTGACTTCACATTTGTTTTGAAGGAACACGACTTGCGACTTGCCATGACTTGACTAAATTTAACTGAAAACTGTACAAAAGTTCATTCATATGTATGTATTGAATAAATTTATTGTAAACCGACATGTAGCATACAGAACTGTGAGAATCTTTACTCACCCAATGACAGCTCTACTTTAAGCAGTGTTCCAATTTTAAAAATATATTTGGAGTCAACAACTTTATTCCAATCTTAAAAACTAGTTGGACTTGAAAAATTTTTTCCAATCTTGAGAAAATATTGGAATTGTAAAATCTTACTGAATTTTGAATATTCACCAAAGTTGAACTGTAATTGACATGAAAAGTTGCCCTAGCATCACAAATTTATGTTCCCGTATGTTTTTGCCGGCTTGTACTTGCTATGTATGTATCATAACTTACCACGTTTTGTACACTTCCGCTGTTGGGGGCATGCATGCAGGCATGGGAACGAGTAATTAACATCACAAAGGACACAATGGAATTTCTAATGAGCTCCGGTTCTTCCCTTGGCACTCGCCCTGAGCCAGAAGATCTACTGTATGAGAACGGGCTTATTGTTGGCTTTATTTAATCCCTTGTGGAATGGGAGGAATGTGCCTGAGCACGTTGGAACAAGGAAAATACTTTTGATCTTTGCCCAAAGTTAAGCCTGGTTTTCATATGGTCCTCAGTAACGCAGACGGAATGCAAAACGAGAAGACGCAGACATAAACGGAAAAAATGGTGCATGACGCCATTCTACCAAAAATTGAAACAAAATGGCATCCGAAACTTCCTAATTTTTTTGCAGAAAATGTGCTTTTAGATTGACTGTCCGTCTCATGATGCCAAACCTTTGCTCCAGTTCCATGCATTTCATTGACAGTTACCTATTCAGTTAATCACTGGGATGTAACTTTTAAGGAGAAAATGGGCAACATTTGTGGAACTAAGCGAGAGTTACATGTACATCGTTGCATGCCGGTCACTCCAGCATGCATGTTTGTATTGGGATACCACGGCTACTTGATGCAGACAGTCGGCAAAGTTGAGCCAGGCTCAATTTTGCCGATCGTTCGCAGGCTGATTTGCATTTGTCTGCGTTGTCAGCGACACAACCCTTTGGCATGTTTTCATATGTCCATGTTGCAGTTTGCGTCTTGATTGTGTTGCCCTCTGCACATTGGACACAGTTCCACAATGATCTCGGCCAGCCATTTTAGCCAATAATCCTGCAGGCAAACTTACCAAGGAAAGATTCCCCATAGTCCGTTGATCTCATTAACCTCTGAGTCACTGACCCTACAACAAAAATAAAAAAAAGAATGGAGCTCATGCTCATACATTTTGTTTGTTACTATGGTGTATTTGATAACTAGTACAAAAGAAATGATTGTTTACATATGCCAAGTGAAGCCAAATAGAATCAAACATTCCATATATCACTAAGTGAAATAATTCTTTCCATTCTACAAATGTGAAACATTCACTGTTCTGTACAATGCCTGAATAAATCCTTGTCATCTAATTGTTGTTGAGAAGCACCTTCTCCCTTGTCATTCCATTGAGAAGCCAGGACAAAAATTTGACCAGTTCTGAATCAGGTCACCAACAAATGTTTTTGCTTGCCAAACAAATTCCTAAATAAATTAGCCGCATATTTTATTATCTTGTACATGTATGCGTTAGCATGAAGACATAATGACACATGTATATGATATGATATGAGTTCAGAGATATATGAGACTTCTTCATATGTTATTGTCTGCTACTTCTTAAAGTGAAAAGTTATCAGTTTGGAGGTCTTGAGGCCAATCTTGGCCTCCGAGCCAGCCTTGAGGCCAATTTTTGAAAGACTTGGCCTTAGAATGACTTATTCTTGGCCTCAGCATCCTCTGGACTCAAAGAATCAGTCGAGGCCAGTTCAAGGCCACCCATTTCATCTAAGTTTTCCAAGCTTTTACTTTCCCCAAATTTTATCGTGACAACGTCCTTGAGACCCATACTGTGCATGTGCTGTAGGCATGGATAATTTTTGTGTACAAAAATGTACCTTGACTTACTAGTTATGCGATGCAGTTACACAGGTTTTTTTATCCCCAGAGACCATACTTATTTCCATCCATTGTTGCATGGAAAGGATAGCTTTAGAATTGCATGTACTACACACACCGGCACTCATTGAGAGTTCCATGAAAAAAATGTTGCATTGGAATTTTTAAAGTGGCATTTGAAAGGATTTCCTGTACATTTACAAGAAAGTGCGTATAATTTTCTTAACTTTAGATCAGAAACACTGTAACAAAATGAGGTTGAGATTATGAGTGTTGGAACATTTGGCAGTGTGATTTTCTGAATGGCCGGCACTGGGCAAGCATGTGTGGGGGCCGGTTCACTTTTACACCTGCACACGAAAACTTTGCATGTTACTACGCATGGGGTGGGTTGGATACGGATGTAACTGCTGTTCATGATTTTCTCCATATGCCATGTATTCATGGTTGGCATAAAGCACAATTTTTAGTTTTTTCTTAAGAGAAATCACATGTATTGCTATTTTTTTGGAAGCGCTCCTGACTTTTAACTTTTTTCCTTGTTGAAAAATGGTTAAACTTACGTTCACACACAAATTTATGTGGTCAGGGGATTTTTGGCAACTTACTGTAGCTACTACTAACTTCCAACTTCCTAACTTGATTATCTCTTTGGGATACTGTCTGGCATGTCCATTCAAATTTGTTTATCAGACTGCATGTTTACAATGTCACACTGAAAGTAACTAAATAATGAAACACAAGTACTTGGTCATTTTTCTTACACAAAATAAGCAGGGATATTGTCTTGTCATGTACAAGAGTTTTTCGTGTGTGATCTACAGTAGATGAACTTTGTGTCTAGCCAACAGTTCTAAAAACTTTTGGAGAAAATCGCCTTGTGTGGAGTTATGTGAGACATATGGGACACTGTGACCTCAGCCGTGGCCTTGGCCTTGAATGGCAGTAACTTGGTCTTAGCCTTGGAGACACACGACTCGGCCTTGGCTTCAAGGTCATGAACTTGACTCCAACAATACAAGTTCTGGTGTAACACTGAGACAATGACTATTAACAGACACATCAAGGATCTAAACTTGTATTTTTGTGGTGTAGTGATGAGCTGTGCAAAGGAATGAATAATTCATGACATGAGAAAACTCCATCCCCCGATGAGGGTGATTTACTCCAGTGCTCCAAAGCTCAACACTTTCCTTTTTCATAACATGGCATTTGTAAACTAATGAGTGATGTGCATTTACACTGCGTCCTCTTTCGGTTCGAATCAATTGGCATTCTCGTACTACACAGGTGGTGCACCAGCCTTAAAAAAAAAACAATTACGTCACATCCCACCTCAACCCTGACCTATGACCTCTTCTCATAACTGCACGGCGGGTGCCAGAAATTTCTTTTTTTGCAGACAGACAATTTTTCTCATTTTTCGTCGCTTTTTGACAGTTTTGTCTAGAAGTAATGGCCACAGACCAAGACAACAGGTACAACGCATGTCGGCAAAGGTAAAGATTCTGATACACCTAATAAATCAGTAGATTCTGGAAATGATAGGAGTAATGTTCAGGATCGTGCCAGCATGGCAGTCAATGCCGACCATGACGATGCTTCACGCGTGTGTGGTGAATCTCCACACACTCGTGACACACATGTACATGATGTTCGAGATCGGTCCCATTCGTGCTTCCAATCTTTAGGTCCCGATGATAGAGAGGTGGACTGCACTTCATTCTTTGAGTCCCGAAAGTGGTAATGACGACAGACAATGTCTCCAAGGTCGTAGTCAGCAGGGGAGAGATACCTTTTATGATCGTGAAGAGGAATTGCAGGATCGTCGACCCGATACTGGCCTTTACTGCCAAATGTTCAAAAAGGCGATTTGGAGAGTCCAAATTACTCAGATTAATTTAGGCCTAAATAGTGGCAAAAATTCAGTGTGACCCACACTAGGGTTCATAGGGTTCATGCCAGATAAGCCAACCTGAAAGTGTTGGGAGTGCGTGAACGAGTATCACTACTGAAAGTAAACTTTCATAATTTTTGTGGACTTTAGTGTAAAAGTCAACATACGGTACATTGCTACAGCATGGAGCCATAAAAAAACAGAAAAGGTTGAGCAACAACTTTTGATGCAAAGCTAATGAGTCAAGTCTGTAAGTCAGGTCGTTTCATAAAGATTTTATTAAGATAACCCAATGGGTCATTTTAAAATAGTCTTTGTGTAACTCTGAAAAAGTTATCGCTGTAAGCACTTGCCTAAACTCAAACCGCCTTGCAAATATACGTACCGTGAAAACAGTCTAGGCAGCAACAAGCACGTGCATAGTTATCACAGAAACTGTGATTTTGAAACAAGGCATTCGGTGGGGATAAATAACAGCGTTACGTCTCCCTACAATACCTTGTCCATATGCAAACATAAGTGCAACTTGTTTGCATGGTATATTATTCATTGTGTAAGTTGAAAATAATTCAGAGACGATGAAAAAAAGAAAGCATCCAGCGGTATTTTTAGTATGTTAGTATAAAATGGTGTGCATGTGTAACCGAGTTGCATGGGCATAGGACCTGCAGGTTGTATTAACCACTTCCTGCCGGGGATTCCGGATCCAGACACGTATGTTTTATATGCGTGACCGGGGTCTCCGAACTCAGACAAAGGGAGCAGGGCCTTGTAACTAAAGACCGTACTCGGAACAAAAGACCAGGCTGCTGGGCATTACCGACTTTTTTCACTCCAAAAGTGGAGATAATTCAGCCTTGTTTTGAAACAGTATACCAGGGTTTGGGGCATTTAGAGTGAGCGGATTACCACCAGGGACAAAAGCGCTCTACCACCACAGCAGCGATGAGCCACACAGCACCGCTGCATGCTAATCTGGCCCCTATTTGAAAAGAGGTCAGTGACGCATTGAGCCAGGTTTGTGAACAAAAGAAAGTTAAATAACACCGCACAATCTGGGTTCTTTTTACAAGGCTGCAGGCCTGGCTGAAATACTCAGGTGTCAATAAACTTTGTCTGTCAGGCTAGAGGGGCCACCAGACAGTCCTTCACGTGTTTGCAAGTGTTCAGCAAATGAAGACTGGAATTTTAAAATAATTTTGAAAACAAAAAAAAATTATGATTATCCCGGACCAGCTTCATCAACATTGATAACTGCCCCTGGCAGCAAGTGGTTAAGATCACATGTTGTTTCACGACTCATCGCTGCGGGGGGGGGGGAATTGTTATCTTTGGTGCAACTTACATGTTCGTCCATCCACCAATTTTGGGGAGTCCAAGTGGTACAACTTAATCTTCCTTGGGAGGATTACAGTGTTCAAGTGGAGGAGTTACTTAATATTTTCAAATCAACCACTACTTGGCACCTTGTTTGACCATGCCCCTGTGACTGCCTGGCCACACACAACTTGCAGGAGCAACCAGCCGGCCGTATACATTTTACACCATGAGAACCAACGTGTAAGCCACGGCCTATATTCAAAAAATCATGGTAATTTCTAAACATATACACTTTCAGGTCAGGTTTCCAATCCAGACACATCAGAAACATCAACAAAATGCTATATTCGCTCTCAATCCCGAGTTTAAAAAGGTCCTCTGATGAAAGGGAGGAATCTGGACCCCCCTGATCCGCCTATGAAATCTGTTAGTTGCCCTTACATGTCCCACTTTTAAAAAATTCAATGTGATTTTGAATACCTTCAAGGCCATGAGCATGGCGAGGAAGGGTGAAAGGCAGACCCTGCCTCCCCCTCCCCCGTAGAAAAAAAATGAGAAAGACACGAAAAGGGATGAAAATGGATGAAAATCACCAATTTGCTCAGAAAAAATGACAAAATGACTCCCTTCTACTGTTAATGCTTTGTCAGGTCACTGCCAATGAGTGCTTAAGCCCCACTCCTCGATTTCAAAATTTATCCCCTTGGAAAAAGTCTTTACCCCTTACCTATAAGAAAAAAAATCGTGAGCGACCTTCCTTCATGCAGTAGTACATATTTGCGCATGTGCGAAATGGCCTCCAAGCTCGGCCAACATTCTGTCAGTTATGCATGTTGTCTACAGCTAGGTCTAGGTCTTCACTCCATTACAAATACGTGGAGAAGTGCAGCTGACAACAGACGTAGCCGTATCTTTGGAAGTCATGTTCGCACACGGCCTTATCTGCAACTTCTTCACGCCCACGGCTCTTCTGCGCATGCGTAAGGGCACTTGGTTACAATGCATTTTGCACATGTGGGAGTATGCATGCAAGACGAACATGTATGTACATGTAGATCGTTAACGAATTGCGACAGAACGCATGGAGTTTCGCAGAATTTCCAGCAAAATACGTTGTCTGTGGGCGTATTTAGTAATTTCAACACATCATTAATGGAATTTGGGACACAAAGCACTTGTAAACGACATTTTGAGCTGTCTTCGCCAGGTAAAAATGTGAGAAAAACTGTTGCTAAAAATTTCGCATAGTAGGAGGACTTTTATACCCTGGACATTAGTCACAATGCAATGTAGACATCATCCAACCTGGGCTAATGCAAACCCAATTGAATCACACTAAATATGAGGAGCGAAATTGTATTTAAATGTAGACACTGGGATAAGTGCTTACTAAGTTTAGTGACACAGCATGTGGACGTGCATCTGGTTCCATGTACAAAGATGCTACATAATGTTCTTTGTCATTGTGCTGATGAGTGCCGTACATGACGGCACAAAACAGTCTGTTCAGAAAATGCCAAATTTAAAACTTGTATCCTAATTTTTCCAGTACATATACATTTACCTATATACATGTACGTGTACCGTATATTGTCCTTATCTGAAAGTGATTTGCTCTATCCATCTTGAGGAGAAGCGCCCCCTCATCAGTTTTAAAGAACCATGTTGGCTGGGAGTGTTCATTTTGTCGGTAGCCAAGCAATTGTAATCATGCATTTCACAGTCATTTGTGAACCAGCAAAGTGCAGTTTCTACCAAAGGAGCCTTGTTTGCTATGAAAATTGTGCTCTCTCTTGGTCCCGCTTAAGGTGGATAACATCAGAACAAAGCTGGGCTTAGTTTATTCACAAGATAATCTACATCTCCTGGAGAACCCTTATTATTCCAAACTGAGGATTTTATTGTTTATGACAATTTATGCAGGTTAAGCAAATACACATGCATGTCTGAAAACTGTTTGTGATGCAAACTACGATTTATCAAGTTAATTACCTTTAACCATCTGGTGTGGCAAGTTTATAAAAAATTCATACATTCAATTTTTTTTCTTCATTTACCTGTGCTCCCAGACGAGACAACTGCAAATAAGACACCTGGCTCCATTTCTTTTGATCCCCAGGCGTAGGACAAGACATTTCTCTGCACATCCTTCCAATGTATGCCAAAGTCATTAGACACCCACAGTTTGAACTGATAACACATAACAGGGATAACATTCACATTACAAGAATAACCAACAGCTGAAAGACAACTTCATTATGTAACAATTTTTCAACAGTTTGTGAAACATCACACAATAGTGGAGAAATTCCAAAATGACATCTTAAAATGTGTGTCACACTGAACTTTTTGTACAGTACCCTAAAAAAAGAGTCATGAAGAAACTTTTGCCCACGTAAATGAAACAAGCCTTAACAAAGGTGGCAGTGAAACGACAATGTTACAACTGATAATATAGTAATCAACGGGTAATGTATCTCCAAACAATATTGTATCACAAATTGCCCAAAAGTATAACACCAACTAATAATGTATCACAAATTGACAGATGGTGTAGTAAACTTTCCAACCGATAATTTATCGCGTGTCGTAAAATGCAATAGCCAAATTATCCTAACCGATGGGCACTGATGCATTATCAGTTGATAGTTTGATACATTATCGGCATCATCTGTTCTGTGGTGATACATTATCAGTTAGGGTAATTTTGTTACTACGTTATCCGCTGACACATGATACATAGACATGAATACATGTACACTGCATAACCTACCTGCTGATAGGGTGAATGTGCCAGTAGCCTGTTTGCATCCGTGTTGTGAAAAACTATTGACCCATCAAGATAAAAAGGAGCAATTGATTTGGTAAATTTTTTACCGCCATTCAAAGTTCCGTATAAACGTGTCTCTGTCTTGCTCATATCTGGCATATATGATACAAGAATTACCTGTAAAAAACAAGATGAAAGACAAAGCACAATTGACAATTAAGGAACACTTGCAGAAGTAAATGGAATGGATTCACAAAGCAGGGCCCAACAAAGCCCATTCTTATTCAATTACTTGCTTTACAGATTTCAATATAGATGCAATGTAGATTGTTCAAAAAAGTTCCTCCCCCACATTAGTGTGGGAAAGTCTGCTAGGGAATACTTACCCAAACAGTCACTACTTTAGTAAATTTCCTTTCACGCCTTTTGCCATTCGCTATAAGTGTGCTCTCTAGTTCAACAATGTAGTGCAACGCTGCAGCCGTGCTCGTTCTAAGCTTCCTCTTTGGAGCGCAAGGTCTGAGCCGGAAAGGGGAAGACAGGCGGGCGCCGACACTTTGGGTAGGTATATTCCCAAGCAGACTCTCCCGCACTATTGTGGGGGGGGGTGCACTACGCTTATCCTACCCAAACAGTCACTACTTTTGCAGAGTACCACTATACCCTCGTGGAGGGTTGGCGAAGAGGCACTGAATGTGAGAAAAATGTGATTAATATCCAGAAGGCCTAAAAAAAAGGGGAATGTCGAGGACCCACCAAAAAGAGGAGAAAGCAATCAGACAGATCTGAAGATGGCCCACCTCGGCAAAGGTCCTCAAGGTCTTGGTGCAGAGAATAGGATTGTCTTGCCACAGGAGAAGTCTCGTAGTAAGACATTACTCAGGTAGCATGAAGTGAATGTTAAGATTGTTTTCCAACATGCTGCCCTACAGATACCCTCCATTTGGGGCACCACCAAAGAATGCCTACAAGGTAGATACTGCCCTGATGTCATAAGCTACGATGGGGTGGCCAGGTTGTTTCATCTGTAGAAGTCAGCCATTTGAGATTGGTGAACATGATGGCCTGGACAACCCATCTAGCCATAGTGTCTCGGCTTGCTGGCTTCTCTGTATTTCTGAGTTCTCTGCTGTTTCTTCTAATTTTTCATAATGGAGTCGCGATTAAAGCTGGTTAAATCACAATAATTCATGCAAACATTTTGATCTCACCGATCAAAATCGCGCATGAAAACCAAGTGTGTCACACAGTGGAAGAAAACACGGCAGATTCAGGCAAACTCATTCACAAAACCACAGTCTTGACAATATAGCATTTATGTAAAACTATGCGTAAATTGAACTTTGTCTTCAGGAAAAGAATAAGAGTAAGCGGGTAAAATATCCAAGCTAATGTCAGCATTCAAAATATTTCACGACTGGTCAACACATATCATGCCGCATTCCAATCACCTCGTGTTTATCATGTTCTGCTCCACATCTGTCTTTTCCTACTGGCTATCTTTTTAACACTTATTTCTAACGCTGCCTTGCCCATTGCTTAGTTCCAATATTTCACTGCCACAAAGGTCAAAGGTGTCTAAAGACACATTTAAATTTCGCAAATGCCTAATTTTCTTTGGAGCCAAACTAAGGACTACACTGAAAACCTGCCTAATGGTGTGAAATATGCCCCCAATATCCATTAATAATAGACTTGTACCAATCATACTTTTATCCTTCGGTGAAATTACGTTGCTATAATTGTCTCAATTTTGGTTTTCTAATACAACTTGACAACATTTTCAAGGAATGCTAAGAATTTCTACCATTAGTTAGAAATAAAATACATGTAGTTCAGGCCTAATGAGATGATTATAATTGAGAAAGTAGGCATTTTTAAGGATTGTTTAAGACATCGATGAAAGAATTTGGTCCACCAAGAGAACGAAATTTGCGATACCTGCACATTTTTATTTCTTTAGCAAACACCAATTTAAGTTATAAGACAAATGTCAAAGTTTTTGCTGCATTTAAGACTGAGGTAAACATTCTTGAAGTTATTCCTTGCCTGATCAATATGTGTAAGGAGATGCAGTGCAATTATTCCCACTCTCGTTCCCTTAGCGAAGGTTATCATTAAGCAGAAGACTGGAAAACGAAGTAAATTACCAGTGAAACATTTATCACAAAGTGACGCTATTCTGTTTCCTTTGAAAGCATAATTCTTTCTTTCTATCTGTATATATATTCATAAACAAAGTGCTTTAAAGGTCTCTGTAGAAACAATTTCTCAATATCATGATAATAGAGACTGCACATCTGCTTGCAAAGGCATAAACACAAATTCTCTTAGCCATCATAGAGGAAAAATAAATTGAAACACCAACAAAATCTTCTATATCAAGATAAAAGTAACAGCTAAACAACAGCAAGGGCAGGATAATTTGTGATGGTGAGTGAGCATTCTTTGATTGGGAAATATGATAACTACTGTACCACAAAAATTGAGTAACCCATCCTACTTGTAACACCGGAAGCAAAGGTTGAGCAACTCACTTCATGCTCTGTATCCCAGAGAAGGTTGCAGGGCTGCATTCCTTCTTCTAGGCATATAAAGTTCTTGCCCAAGTCTCGACTAACAGTAACTGTACCACCATCATATCGTCCCTTGATGTTATCGTGGATGAACGTCATTCAACTGATTGCCTTCAATAGACAGACGGCAACCATGCTGCCTTCACTGATGCACAGGCTTCGCTTTTTAAGACCTGTACAATCACCATCGAGAATGAGCAAGAC